TGGGGGAGTACAGCTAAGGGTCAGCAGCAGGTTTAGAAATTAGGAAACATAGATTGATTGCTTTTCAAAGCTTGAAGGAAAAGGGGACAAAGAAAATAAAAAAAAAAATTAATAATTAACACACGGGTTGGATTTTTTTTTTAAGTTGTTGATACTACCTTGCTACATTATGGGGGAGGAGGCTGGTTAAGTGCTTATCTTGTACTTGCTTTTCAATTTTAATTTATAAAAACCAATGACACTATATATATATATTTTAATTAACAATAAAAGAATAGTGAGAGGATCGAAAAGAAAAATAAGTAGTCGAATTTGCAATATATAGTTTCTGAAGTATTTTTTAGTTGCTCAACAATTAATGCAGAAGTTTTCTCCCCCCAAACGCGGATGAAGAGTCTTATGAATTGTAGGGGAACAAAAAGGATCTCATGACAAAAAAAGAATTATCGAACAAAAATTAAGGATCTCAACAATGCAGAAGTTTTCTCATTTTCCATTGCGACGAATGATCAGAATTATCGAATTAATAACATCTATTTCGTTTTGTACTCTTTTTCCTTGATCATGGTTTTTACCCTTTGAGTTTTCTTGGTAAGATTTTAACAAGGCAGTCCATTTTTCCCCCCGGACCTTTAAAAAAGAGGGCTGAAATTTTCAGTCTAATGTAGTTCAATATCAGTTGTATTTGTTGGGGATTCGAAACAATCAATCGAACCATTGCCTTTTCGGACCTTGTGTTGAAAGTAGGAAAGTAGGAATACAACCACAAATAAAGATCTAACTTGCAAAAAACAGTAAGGGAGATGAACACACAGATTTAACGAGGTTCGGCAACGTGCCTACGTCCTCGGGAGCCACACCACACAATCTCTTTATTAATTGAAGAAGAAAATACAAGCTCTCAAACAAGGGGTTAATCTCTCTGAGATTCTCTCTCTCTTTGCAGTCAAAAAGCTCTCTTTTTGATGTCTTACCAACCCTAAAAACGTTTGGGGTATATATAGAATCCTGAAACAAAACAGAGTCCCAAACAGTTTAGGAAACTGTCTGGACGATTCGCGGGCGACCGCCGTGCCAAGGTCGGTCGACCGGCCAGAGAAAAAAATGTTTACAGGGTCCTGTGCACATTTGCGGTCGACCCTAGAGCGACAGAAACTTCTCAGTTTCCTGCAGTGCACGCGGTCGACCGGATCTGGCACTGCGGTCGACCGCACAGTCTTCTGACTGTTTTCATCGTCTTTTCAATTGTAGCTTCGGGTCTACACACTTAGACTAACAATATTCAACGGTAACCTAAATCCATTTGATGTAACTAAAAGTTTTCGGAGGCCAGACTTGTATCGATACAATATCAACACTTGAAGTAGTTATTTCAAAATATTGATCTTTTCCGACTATCTTAAAATTCCTAAAAAACTAATATACACTTTCATTAATTATATCCATAGACGTCTATCACTATTTCTTTCTTTTTTTTTGGTAAATGAAAAATTTTATTCATCACCAAAATGTAAAAATTATGTACATCAAGAATCTCATCTCAAATGTGAGATATCAGATATGAAGCTAGAGCTCAAACAAGCACAGAGCTCAGCAAAACACTCCTCAAAGAGAAAGAAAACTCAGCTAATTAAAACATTTCACTACGGTGAAGCTTGTTAGTAAAACCTTAAAATCACTCTTTCACTTATAAACAAAGCCTTAAAATCATTGTTTGTGCTACAGTAAATACTTCATGCTACAACGTAACACACGGATAATTTTGAATACCAAAACACTATTCATATATATTTTTTGTTCTTGCAGATGATACTTTAATTAAAACCTTTATCAGACATTTCACGTATATAAATCTTTTCTGGCTCTATTAAAGAAGATTGACAAAACTTGCTAGTTAGTTTTATTAAGTGATTTGGAGATTCACTCTTATAATGGAAATAAAAAAAATAGTTGTTGAAGTTATTATAAATAGTTATATACAGAATTTGGCGATACATATACCTTGATAAATATCACCCAGAGCAACGCACGGGCTTAATATTAGGAATTAAATAAGAGAAAAAGCCAAAACTATATAGCGGGTGGGTAGCCTATATATGGATTGATGGCACGCTTTAGCCTTTTTAGCTTTTTATCACGCAACGTTTAAAGAGATTCTTTCTAGTTAAACTTGTTCTTTATCTAATCAAAGTCGAGGAGAAAGGAAATCGACTGTAGAAGCACTTTAATTGAGACACTTTGGGGCTGTTTGTTTGCCTTAAAAAAAGAGGGAAATCAAAGAATAGGAAACCTATTTCTTAGAAATTTTATTTTGAGGTTGTTTGATTGGAAAAAAAAAACAGGAAATTAAAGAATAGGAGATGGGATGAGATGAGTTGTCGTCATATTATTGGATAATGTGAGTGATTTTTTAAGAAAACTTGTTTTAATAATGTTTGGTTGGCTAAAAAATAAGGAAATGTATTATAAGAAACTTATTTTCTATAATAGGTTCTTTTCTTGTGTTTGGTTCATTCTTAAAAATAAGAAAATAGATGAGATGAGATGAGTTGTCATTATATTATTGGATGATGTGACCCACACTTAAAGAAATCAATTTCTTTGTTTTTTTGGAGGAAATGGGTGGAGATGAAAGTTTAAGAAGATGAGATGAGTTGTCATCATATTATTGGATGATGTGATTGATTTTTGAATATGAGATGGGATGAGATGAGATGAGTTGGATGATGTGATGATAAAAATAATATTTTATTAGATATTGTATGATAAAAGTAATATTTTATTGGATGAGTTGGATGATAAAATAATATTTTATTAGATGAGTTGGATGATAAAATAATATTTTATTGAATGTTGGGGTAAGTTTTAGGAATGGAAATGGTTGAAAATAGGAAATGGGTGATTTCCATGCTCCCATTTCCTATTCTTGGTTTTTAGGAAACCAACCAAACAGAAGGAAACTCACTTAGCAAGAGACCTATCACATATAGCATCAAAATGACTGGTTCACATGGAAATAATTATATAAGAATTTTGTGGATGCAAGAATAAAAAATCTAATATATAGATCGAGTCTGCAAGATTTGACTCAATGTTGAGGATCCTGTGATTGTCCTAGATGACTTGTATTGATCCAAGTTTGAGATTGTCTGTGATAGACAAAAAAATATCAGATTGACGATGAAGTCAAAGCAGTAGAAGTTTAGATTGGAGAATTGAGAATAGGAAGATTCATAAGTTAGGTTGGCAGCGCCAAGCCAAACCAGGATGAAAAATATCATTTTTACCTGTTTGTTGGGTAGCGTGTTTATAGGGATTATCCTAGGTAGATCAATAAGTGATGTGTTGTGGAAATAGTATTGAGATTGCAAGTGCATAATCAAATTATAGTATAGTTACTATGTCGATCCCACGAGTAAGGTGTGTAGAAAATGATCTAAGTTGGGTCCTAGAGTTATTCTTAAATGCTCTTGGGCTTCTTAGAATTTAGCTTGACCTTCAAATAATTGAATATCTATCAATTAAATTCGAATTATGTCATTATCTACTCTTGCTAATAAAATTTTTAGAATTTGCCAATTTGGATGGCTCCATCTTGTCGAGATACATGATTTCTACATATAATATATTGAATTCTGCTTTTTGGATTGGGAGATATCGCCTTTTCTTTGCGGTTAACTATCTTGAGCATGAATTTGACTTTATTTCTTTTTAGATTTGATTTGATTCTCAGTTGTAGACCAATTTATTAATAATTACTGAGAAATAAACTAATGAGTGTTGAGATTTTCATTTTAAACTTAGTAATGGGCTTTGGATTTAGGCATTCTAGAAAGTAGTAGGCTTTTAGGCATTCTGGACTTCATTAGAGATCTTTTGAGCTTGAAATAATCTTCATTTGAGCTCTTAGTCAAATAATACTTCTTTTCCTGCAATTTAAGAGGAAAACATGTTCCTAATGCATATATATTATATATTATATATATATATATTATATATATATATATATTATATAATATATATATATTAATATTATATATTATATATATTATATTATGTATATGATATAATAAGAAATGGATAAACTTGGTACCAATTGCTCCAAGCCACTTGTAGTGATTTGGCTCTATATAATGTCCTACATCTACATTTGCGAGTTAGTGTTAAGAGGGTAGTGTGAGTTTATTATCTTTTCGAGGGTGTGATGTAGGTGGCAGATTAGGCCACATCACTATCAAGTTGCTTTAAGCACATTGGTACCAAGTTTCTCCATTTCTCTCTTCTCCTCTCTCTCTCTCTCTCTCTTCCTCCTCTCCTCTCTCTCCATTCTCTTCTCTCTCTCTCTCTATATATATATATATATATATATATATATATATATATATATATTCAAATAAAATAGATAATGAATGTATAAAAGTGTAATGAAATGTGATGATCAATAAGTACAAGTGGCATCATCTCACTGGCTGAGGTAGTTACCTGACGCGGAAGTAAGTCAATATGTCATTAACAGAGGCGGTTTGTCCGATATGGGTGTAGATTAGGGTTGTTATGAAAGTTGCAATCAAAGAGATCGGTTATCAATTGACATCTACTGATGTGGTATATTGATAATATGATACAATTTGAATCAATTATTTCTAATTAGACAAACTCGCCCTGAAACCAGGTTGGATTGGTATT